TGAATGGCTTAGAGGGCAAGATCGGGACGTGGAATCAGACCACGAGGCTTGTGAGTTTGTAAGGGAAGGGAGCGGGCGGAGAGGAAGGGAAAAGTGTCCTCCTGTGGGACGCAGCTTCCTCATGTTCACACCAATATATTTCGTGAGTATAACGGAGGTTTTCTAGGGTTCAATATTTCACTAATTCCTAAAACTAAAACTAGATTAATGGTACAATTCTTGGCACTAGTAAATTATTTGGATAACATATCTTTACTTCTAAGAGCTCTGAATTTTAAAAATGTAAACAAAATCTGACCTGAGTTAGGAGAGTTTTGGCGGTAGATGCAATTATGTAGAAGGTGCAGGCCAACACTGGAATGTGTCACATCGGAAATGAACACCACAAGCCATAGGTACTCAGAGCCGCAGTGATGGGTTAGGAACTGGGGGAACTTGCGTTCCCTTGAGCTGTAACTGAAGAGTGTTCCAAGCATCGTGGCTTTCTTCTACTCCCAAGTCCTCCTGGACATGCCCGGGGTCCTCTGGCTTTACCAGTATTCCCTCCCCTGGGAGGAACCCCCACAGCTTGCAGGGTGACTGCTTTGATGCACCAAGGCACAAAAGATTGGCCACTGCAGCCTTTGGCTTCAAGAACTTCAAACATCTCAGGGGCAGCAGCACTGCTGGGAATCAATCTCTAGCTTGCTCTGGATGGTCAGCTGGATCAATAGCATCATATTAATAATGACAACAATATTGATTACAGTAGTGACAAAGAGGAGGTATCAAGTCTATAAAAGTGGAGTGCTCATTTTCATGTGTATTGTGTTATACATGAGTTTTAGTAATGCAAATGCAAGCTAGGTGCCCAATCTGTGCGGTGACACAAGCAGATGAGGGGACCAAAGAGCACAGCATAGGTGGTCACCACACAGAGAGCCTCGGGCAGGTCTGTAGCTGTGGTCACAAAATGTAAGCAAATATAAGGAGCACAACAACGTGGCCCTGCCCAGAGGGTGCCATACGGGAAGGAATAACGGCCGTAAGTAGCACTGACAGCCCTTCCTGTGTGAGTAACACAGTGACACACCGCAAGGCGCTGGTGCTCTGTGTGCTTTTACTCACCCACCCGTCTAATAGTGTCAGTGTCATGGTCATTGTCACCGTCATCTTAGAGATGGACACTAAGACGGGAACTGTGCGCGGTGTTAATGATCTGTCTCTCTCTCTCTCTCTCTCTCTCTCTCTCTCTCTCTCTCACACACACACACACACACACACACACACACACAATCCGTTTCTATGAATATTTGTAAACTTAAAACTGCTACTACAGTACCATGAAGGTGTCCTATTGTGGGGTGCATATGCGATGCATATTTTAGAGTCTGCTAACTCAGACCCCTGTGTGCACATCATGTACAGGAAGCTGCTCTTGAATATTGGTTATTGAAGAGGGGGAGCTGGAAGGGACCGAAAGGCGCTGTATAATGCAAAACGCTCCACGTAAGCAGTTAGTGGGAGGCAGGCCAGTGTACATGAATAATTCTGCTTGTATAAATGAGGAGACAGAATACATCCTGGTGTAACTTCAGTATTACCTTTGGGAAGCCTTTTACTAAGAACTCAGTGAAAATGCAGCCCTTCAAGCTGTTCCTACTCAGATTTCAATCCTCTCTCATCTTTTGGATCCACATGACCTGCGTTTCTCCTCAGTCCCAGGAGGTCACACACTGTTCTGCATGCATCCAAAAAGTTGCTCTGTCGTGCCTGGCATTTACTCTCCACTGTGGGACTGACTGTCTTGTGCAGCTGAGACTGTGAATCCTGAGCTTTTGTCGGGTTTATGTCCGGCTGTCCACAGGTCTGCGCCCTTGCACTCTGTCCTTGGGGCCTCCTGCTCATTATCAAGGACACTGTGCATATTTCTTAAGAAGCTTCTTCCTGTGTCTAACTAGAGAGTGCTTTATGTAATACTGAGTCTTTAGGAGGAAAACATCAGTTGGTGGGCACACATCCATTCTTATCTGCCGGGCACACAATATGATCAAGCACTGTTTGAAGTGCTTTTCCAAACATTGATTCATTTCATCTTCCTAGCAAGCCAATCAAACAGGTACTGTTCCTGTTGCCATCTTACAAATGAGAGAGCTGGGGTGCAGAGAAATAAAAGAAATAAACATTACACAGGAGCTAGATGTTCACAGATGTTATTAAGATTTAATTGGTAGAGGAAAATAACTCTTAAGCAGAAATGATGCGTCCAGAGCTTCCTAGAGCCCCACTTAAAGGACATTATCCACCAGGAGAGCGTCTCTCCTACAACAAAGGGAAGGGGTGGTGGCAGACAGCACTGAGCCCAGCAAACTGTCCTGAAACCTCGGGGAGAGAGCTGCTCCTCCCGGGAGCTCACAGTAGGATTCTTTATGCCCAAGTTTCCCGGGTGCCCCTGTCTGGAGTCCATTCCACGCCTGATTCTGTGTGTGCACGCTTACCCCTCAGAGTTCTACCCTCAGAGTTTACACTTAATAAACACCTGATAATGGAAATGGCGACTATGCTTGCACCACAGGGGAAAAGCGATGTGGCTGTAATTAGGATGTGCAGACAGCCTGAGTGTCTCATGCACTTCTGCCCAGGGAGGGAAGGGTGATGCAGCACCACGGTCAGGCAGATCCAGCAAAGATTATTCACCCAGCAGCCTGCTGTGCACCAGCTCATACTTGCGACAGCTTCGTGAAATATCTTGAACTAGAAACAGTGTAAGTGTTTGAGTAAGCATTTATTTTTAGAAGGCTTAATGCATGACTTATTTTTAACTAGCACATCTGCACTGACCTTTGATAATAAATGCTAGCATGCACTAGAACCCGAGACTCACACGGTTATGAGGAGGTGATAATGGGAGAGCAGGCTCCTGAGTAGAAACAGCACCGCAGATCACGCCCGAGGAACTACACGGAGGAAGGATTGTTCAGCAAGAAATTAGTTCACCAGGGCTAATATGTTAAAAGATGAAACTGCTGTGTTTGAATTTTCCTCGTGCAGTACAGGTCTAGTGGTAGGCTCCTCTCTGAGACCAACGTTGAGAGTTGTCTGCGGAGGGCGAGGGCCGGGGAGAGAGGAGAGCGAGGTTCACTTTTCCAGGAGGAGAGACGCGAGTCTGGGCTCTGGGGAAGGTGTTCCCTTCCTCCTTCCTGGACATTCTCTGGATACCTAGACACCAGGCTCTGCTCCAGAAAGAGGAGATGCCTCCAGGAAAGGGAAGATTCTTCAGTCCCGAGAGATTGGGGAGGAGGAAGGACTGACAAGGAGAAGAAGAGAATGTTGAAGGTTTGTTTTCATTTTTTGTTATTAGATTCAACTCAGGTGCCTGCACTAGACAAAGAGAGGGAAACACAAGGCACCTGCTGCCTTCATGAGCCTGTAGAAGGTGGTTTTGGATATTAGTTTTACTTGGAATGCTGCAAAGCATGTAGATGTTTCAGACGAGATCAATACATCCCGGCTACCTACCTGAGCAGCTCCTGCATGGAGCGTTCTGTCCAGGAGGCCCAGACACACAGAAGAGTCCCTGCTGCAGATGTGAGGAGGTGACCACCTCTCAAAGACCACCCAACACGCTGTGCTGGGACCCACAGTCAACAAGGGCCACTGAGCCCAAGGACCTAGGAGAGTCCAGCTGTGTCTCAGGGCAGAGGAGAAGCAAGTCTGGATTTTCCAGCACGCTTCACTGTTAGAGCCCGAGAGATGCCCAGTTTTCCTGTAGCTGGGAAGGAAAATAGACCAGCCCTCCCAGGAACTGTCAGCAAAATTTGAGCTCCTCCGAGTGACTTCCCAAGTGTAACCTCGCCCTCAGTCCAACCTAATCATGTGTTTGAGAAGACAGAACTTGACAGAAAACCAAGAGAGAACAAAGTGGAGTCACTTTTCCATGAGTTTACTCTCGGACACCTTCTGTTTTTCTTACTAGTTTTCTGTGTGTTATTCAGTTTTGTGTTTATTTTGTTTATTTAGCCATCACTCGTTAGGATACCGGCTTCCTTAATACATGAGTGTATTTTTGTTTAGCCAGGGCTGTATTGCAATCGCTTAGAAAATGGTGTGACACAAAACAGGTTCTTGAGAAGCTTTGCTGCATGAAAGAATGGCCACAATGATGTATCCACTCTGTGACTGCTGTGGCAACTGCTGTGGATCTAAGCTCTCACTTCAGGCTGGTGACGGAAGAAACACTTTGTGGAGGGTACTGGGCACCGGCAGGACTCGGGCAGAAACACAAAATGATGCCGGGCAGGAGGAAGGGTGGAGAAGCAGGCAGAGGAGCAAAGCAAATTTGTTTGTCTCTAATGTATACTAGGGGCAGACGCGTTGAGATGCTACAGATTGGGAAAAATGGGAAGAAAGGTTGGAACGATGTATTACATTTTAGTACCATGATTGCCTTCAGTGCTAAGAAGAAAGACAATCAATCGAACAAAACAAGAGAAAACAAATAGGCTTTAAGGTGCTGACTTGAGACCTAATCTGCAACATTATGTATCATCCGTAAAATGAAGTGTGTAGGCCAGTGTATGAGATAAAGGGGATGAGTTATAGGACATCTCCGGAATACTTAATTTCAGTTCCTACTGAAGATGGATTTGAAACCTCAAACGGCTTACAAAGGTCAAAATCAAAGAGAATCATCTGAAGATGAGACCCAGAAAGACTTTTCAAAAAATTGACAAAGGAGGTGTTTTTAAACTAGCTGATATACATTAGTTGTGAATAAAATTATTTTGAATATGCAAACAATAAACATTTATAAAGATTATTAAGGAAATTTCTGGAATCATCCCCTGTATTTGATATTGAAAACCATAGTGGGATTTGTGCTTTTTAATCTCATATTTACCTCTAATAATGTATTTCTGTTATTTGGAGTACCGTTAATTTACTTTTATAAAAGAATTTCTTAAGAATTCATCAAATATTTGTTAAAATTTCATCAAATAAAAATTTAATGTTCCATAAAAGCAGGCAAGAGCTACATATTTTTTTTACAATCCACTCTGTTGTGCTAAATGGCTGCTGAATTGAACTAAAATTAATAAAATACAAATTGCTCAAGCTTATAATAAATGATTCCTTGGGTATTGTGGAAGCAGTGAAAGAAAGGGCAGAACAAGGAAAGTGTCAGAAATTATTCTGTGAAGACTGAGTTTTCAGTAATAAATCTCATACGGATATAGACAACTTTAAAGCTGCAAGAAAAGCAAAACATCTAACATTTCCCTTTCCACAAATCAAAAGTTTTAACTCTAGGAAGATTTCTCCAGAACTCAATGACTATGAAAAATTGACATGGACTCCAATTAATTATTCATCTGGAAAAAAATCCCTGGGAGAAATCAACAAAAATCACGTTGCAAACACATCGAAGAAAATGGTCTAAGGGCAGGAGCAATCTACGCTTCTGCTGTCAGAGTTGTCTGAGCTCCTCCTAGGAGATAAATTAAACCTGACGGATGGGAGGCCCGGGACCCTCCGCCACGTCGCGGCTTCTCTTGTGTTTGTCGTTGCTTCCCACATCTCTCTCCTCCTTTTCCTGCATACAAAACTCGTCCAAAACATTTCCTCTATTTTTAACCAAAATGCACACAGTCCTATTTGAAATAAACCAGGGCAGGGATGTGCATTGCTGGCTCTGGTCCGGGACCTGTGGGGCTGAGGGTGAGGACTCCTCAGAGTCTCGGGTTTCTTACTCAGAACCTTTGCTCCTGAGACCTAAAAATAACAGCGACCCTGGAGGAACTGGAGGCCCAGATTTGGAAAGCTGTGCGCAAGTGGGATCCAGAGGGGAAGAGGGGTCTGAGAAACGAAGCCCAGGCAGCTCCATGTGAACTCTGCAGACAGCAGGAAGGCACCGTGGGGCCATCACAGCCCGCCCATGTCCAAGGGCAGGGGCTTGTCCTTTTGTTTTGCTGAGCACTGTTCTCTAGGCAGTCAAGGTATACCCTATAGCTGACTCTCTGAGGGGAAACCGAACACCACATGAGCCTGGAAAGGTGGTTCCCTGTCCTAACACATCAGAGAGCCGGGGACCCCGAGAAGAGAAGCACCCATCCCAGCTCTCACAGCACAGTCACAGCATTGCCCTGGTCAGTCTAAGCCATCATGTCTAATATCTAAAGTGACTTGTTATAGCCATCGGACTCGAAACTGGAGCTACTGTGCCAAACTGTATCTTGCCATATCAGAAATCATTTCCTCTCTGTTCTAGTTAGCTTATTTATTTTAGGCATTCCTTAAAAAAATAGAAGAAAGAAAGCAAACAGAAGGGAAGGGAAGGGAAGAAAAGGGAAGGGAAGGGAAGGGATGTGGACTTCTGGGATTACTCATCAGAGAGCTACCCCACCCTGAGGGGTACCCCCATCCCGTGTCGGCACTGACAGGACCAAGAATCCAGTTGATTCTGTTACAAAATGTGTCTCAGAGTCCATCTTCTTTTTTTTCTTCTTTCCTGAGACAGGGTCTCGCTATGCAGTCAGGTTGGCCTTGAGCTCACTTTGGAGCCCAGGCTGCTCTTGCATGTGCAAGGATCCTCCTGTCTCAGCCTCCTGAGTGCTGGGAGACAGGCATGTGCCACCATGCCCAGCATCAAAGTCCATCTTGACCTCCTTCCCAGATGCGTTCTGTCCTCCCCTTATATCAGCTTTTTAATTGGGTCTCAGAAACCATCTTTGACTTTATAAAATTTTAATTCCCAGAATTTAGAATTCTCTTATGAAATAAAACCAACCACGATAACAAAACTCTGTAAGACATAGTTCAAGGCAGGGTAAGCACCCCTCTCCTCTCAGGCCTTGCCCACCTTTCCCCGGCAGTCAGTGCCTCCCTCCTGTGCCTCTGCGTGTTGTGTCTCTTCACAGCGTAGGATAAGAACGTTCTCAGGCAGTCCTGGCCCCTCGACTTTTAAGACCTTTGAGTACACAGAGGAAGGCAGGCAGATGATGGAGCTGAGCTTTGGGAAGCCGTGCACCGTCAGGACGGATGGTGGCCGCCTAGAGAGTGTAGGGCAGAGGGACCAGGAGGGGAGGTGGACCCTTGGGCAGCTACAGGGCAGTTCTGCCCTGCTTTGGTCAATGGCTCTTTGGCAGAATTCCAGGTCAGTGTAACCTCTGAGCTTGCATTATAAGCATTGCTAACAAAATTTCCCCTAGGTATTTATTTGTAAACTAAAAAAAAAAAAAAAAAAAAAAAAAAGCAGTTATTTTGCCATTGGAGGCCGGAGTCAGTGACGCCTAGTTTTAGGCCTTTTCACTATATATTCTTTAGTGTAGGTGATCTCTCCAACCCACAAAGACCCATTTTCTCTTACATATCCATAACTCAAAAGCTTAAACTATTAGCTGGGTATGGTGGCTCATGCCTGTAATCCCCATACTTGGGAGGCTGAGACAGGAGGATCATAGTGAGGTCAAGTCCAGCCTGAACTGCATAGAGAAACGCTGTCTCAAAAAGATCAAAAAAGAGTATTCATTTAGTGAATGACCCAGTTGCCCATTCATAGATCCGAGACCAAATCCAAATGAAATGTGTCCCCTTCCAGTAGAAAGCACACCCTCATGGGAAGCTGAGGTCGATGGCCATGCAGTTATGCTGACTCTGTGCCCAGCAGTTATGCTGGACAATCTCACGTTTTCCGCACCATCCCATTCAACCCACCGAGTAAGAGTAATCTCCCCTCCTAATCCCAGCCCCTTCTATTCCTCCACCACCACAATCCCGGGCCCAAAGCACCATCGTGTCCCCCAGGAGCCAGAGCAGCAGATTTCTAACTTCTCTCAGGAACCCTCTGATGCCGAAAATGCCACTTAGCCATCTCCTCAAGACACAAGTCAGGCGTTTCCCCCTGCAGTGTTCTCCACTATTTTAGGGGATAAAGAGGAAAGTGAACAACAGAAACCCTGAGGAAGTCCGCAGCTCAGGGGGCTCGAAGCCCTCCCACGTCACATCCTCCTAGGAACCTGGTGCTCAGTCTTCGGGCTGCGCCACACCGTCCTCCAGGCCCTCTCCACCTCCCTGTCCTCCGGGTCCAGCCCAATTCCTCAGGTCACTAAGCCATCCCTGTTTCTGCCTTCAAGTACAGTGCAGCCCACGGTGCAGCCTGGAAGGGATGATCGGTCTCCTCCCCTCCCCTCCGCAGAGTCTGTGCGCGGAGGCAGGGTTCTCTGTTTATTATTATTGCATCCCCCAGGAAGACACATCTTGCCTGCCACGATTGAATAACAAACCTTTGTCAAAGAACTGAGAGCGAATGAGGAATCAATGGCTACGATTAAAATTGTTTAAGGGATGGACAGATGGAGATGAGGAAGCCTTCGAGGTCCTTCCCGACTGTGTAATTTCACAGTAAGATGATGAGCGTGTGGAAGAGGAGACGGTTCTACTGTAGACCTTAAATCATGTATTGCATTTCCAGTCCATCAGCGAGGGATTCAATAACATATCACACACGCACAGGAAATGCCTGTGCTTACCAACATGTACGAGTAATTTTATATGAGAAACAGAAGGACCTGAAGAGAGTTCCCTTTTCCCTTTCATTAGCGTGGAGAAGAGACAGCCTGGTGAGAAAACGTAACCTTTAGCTCTCAGGAGGCGCCTGTGCTCTGGCCGCAAGATGTTTTCAGCGCAGAATTCACTGCATGGTCCCGCTCTAGGCTGATCTTTCCCCTTCTGTGCTTAGCTCCGGGGACAAATGAGATTTCACTGGGTGAGATCTTAACCTGCAAACAAAAATCCACATGTAAGAATAACAGTCTCTTCCCACAGGTCAGGAAACAAAAATCAGTTATGAGAAGGAAATATTCTCAACTACAAAAAGACAAGGAAGAAAGTAACAGATACCTAAAGGCCTGGTAAGACACTGAGTGCTAAGAGTCTTGATTCCTGCAGTTAAGTCTGAAATATTTTCCCTCGTCAAAATATTTAAGTGACACTAGTTCAAATGCTTAAGAAAAATAAATGTTGCTAAAACGTGCACCCTAGATTTCATTTATTTTCAAATATTTATACATGATCTATTTCCAAGTATGTATATACAATATAAATATTTAATGTTGCCTATGATAAAATTATGTTATACATAAGCAAGTATTAAAATTAAGTTATATGAAATACATTTACAGAGATTTGGAAAAATCGTCTTGATAATTCTTAGCCATTTACAGTTTTTTAAGACAGAAACTCACTTTTCAACACATAAATATTGGCTGCCTCTTCAGGGCTGGAAATCTTATGTAAGTGAAATTCACTTCAGGGGATTTGATTAAGAATGAGACTCAGATATTTCCACAAATTCAGAGGCCCCTTAGATGTTCTTTATCATTCTATTTTGTATTTCCTAGAAATACACTTCAGCTATTTATCATTTTGCCTGGTTTCTGCAATAAATGCCTAAATATATACAGAGGTATCTTGTGGAATAAATGTTAAGCATTTTTTAATTCTGTAAAAGAATTTTTAAATGTTTCTGATTTTTTTATTGTCTTGTTATTAAAAATTATAAGTATCATTTCTTCAATAAGTAAACAGAAGTCAAAGATGTATTAAGAAAGGTGACACCAAGTAGCTTGGTTTAGATAACAACATTTAATTGACTACAAAAAATTAGACCTCTGTCTCACTGGTGATCACATCAAATAAAAAGAACAAAAGAAAAGCAAGCTGCTGACTGGAGAGCTGGCAGCCAGGAACTGAGTTGGAGGATCAGCCTGCCTCAGCTGTCTTGGTTGAGCAGGGCACAGGCCAGCGGTCAGTGCTGGCCCTCGCTGTGTCCTGCCACGGAGGTGACCACAGCATTCTTATTCAACAGAGAATGAGGAGTGTGTGTCTCATGACGGACCACGTTCTCTTAGGCCTGTCCGCGCTGGTACTTACATCCATGCTGTGTCCTTCTTTAGGGAACCATTCTGGAGATTTGGAAAAAGCAACCATCCGGGGAAAAACACCTGTGCACAAGGAAACACAAAGCAGCATCAGAGGTGCTTCCTGACACGCTGACTGCCGTCACGGGCATCGTCAGGGCTTGGGGCCAGATTCGTTTTAAACCCCACGTCCTGCACATTTCCACATCATCTGTCAGGCGTGGCAAGGTCATTTTTCTACAAATCACATCTCCAAACAATAAATCATTTATAATATGGAATTTCTCGCCAGCAACGTGACCTTCTCATTTTTCATTCAATCTTTGTGAATATATACTAACTATATCTTTTCACTACAGTTCAGTTGACGCTGACCAAGTCAAGAGAAGTTTTTGATACTGTGGATCATACAAACTAATTCATTATCCACCAAGCGTACATTCTCAACTATACTTTAAGTTTCTAATATTAATTTGTGTGCATTTATACCCTAGAAGAGACAGAAATCCAGCTCGTCTTCCAGGGTCTGCTTCTCCCCAGGCCTCTTGTGCAGTGTCCCCAGCACAGGCAGCATCTCCCCTTCCCGGGAGCCAGCCATGCTCACATCAGTGAGCACTCACCGCTTCTCTGTGGCAGGAACTGCTGCTTTTCTGCCCGTCGGAGTCTGTTTGCCTAGTGAAGATCAGCCTTACTGGGACACAAGGCTCATTAACACAGGGGCTGTGTCCCCAAGCCTCACGCCAGGGCCGAACACAATGACTGCGGCTCGGTGCGGCAGTACTAAGCACGTGAGGAACATGGACTAGGACAAAGACTCATTGTTCGGGGGAAATCAGATGCTGCTAAAGAGGCTCCCAGGACCGTAGAGGGACACAGATGCTAGGCTGGTTTCAATAAGCAGGAGACCCATTCTGATTAGAGGACCGCGGAGTTCATCACAGGGAAGGAGGAATGATTTCAGTGACTACACTGGATCGGAGAGAGCTGTAAGAAAACTTGGACTGCAAACTACACTGAATGATGACAAAGGAGCTTGGGAAGAACTAAACAGGCTGGATAGAACAATAAAGACGCGCCAACCCTGGTAGGTGGTGGTCACGAAGCAGATGCTAACAGGCTCTTCGTCACGTGGATATTTTTCCGTGCACAGTGGGTCAGTCTCCAGGTTCTGTAGCAGAGAAAGACAAGCTGTGTGTAGGCTGTACTGCAGGAAGTGGACCGGTTTAGGTGCTTTGAACAGAAAGTGATTTTGCAGAGGGTTAGTAACTAAAAAACTCTTGCAAGAGTTGCAGAAAGCAAGCTCCCTCTAGGGATAACTGTAAAATGTTCCTCAAATCCCTAGAAGCTAGAAAATAGACACCTAAAACTCGGCAGCTGGAAAGGCTCACATCAACATGATGTTTTGATTATCAGCAAAAACAAACAAAATAAGTCAAACCAAGTCTCCATAATCCATCTGACTTAAAAGAGCACAACATTCTCTGAAGGGGCAAACGTTTGGGACCAAGGGACCCCACAGCAAAGAAATCCAAGAACTGTTATGAATCTCTCTCTGTCTGTCTGTCTGTCTGTCTGTCTGTCTCTCTGTCACACACGCAGGCACACACATGCACACAGGCACACGCCACCACAGTGTAAGGAGGAGGATGTGGAGTTCCCATCCACACATCCTTAGCGTCCTTCCCAGGGGCTGCTGTCACTGCCACCCTTTCCATCAGCCCAGGGAAGATGTGCTGGCTGATGGGGACTTAGAATAAAATGAGGATGCAGGTGACGCCCCCAATTCCCCAGCCCCGGTGGGCGGCATCTGAATGAAAGTGGTCCTTTCAGAGAAGACAGCAAATCCAGAGGCCCTCCCGGATAACTTTTCCTTTCCAGGTTGGTGAGTAATCATCTATTCCCTTTAAAGCTCATGATCCGTGTGGTTTAAAACTCCTTTAGATACTGCAGCAACATTTCAATTCTTACTTCAAGGAGGGAGTGAAAGCTCAGTATATGTTTTGAATTATTTCCAACAAAAGGAAGGAGAGAAAGACCCAGAGAACAAAATAATATTTGATACAGTCACTTAGTTTCAAAAATTTTAAGGTACCATTAAGCAAATGTTGCCTGTGAGTGTTACATTTCCAAGAAGGAGGGCACACAGTTGGTTGATCATCAATAATCCATTCATCCCATTTACATATAGCTGCAGCCAGGCTACTGCCCACATTCCAGCCTACAGTTTGCTTTTTACAGTCCTTCGATTTGCAAGTGAAAGCCAGGATCCTTGCCAATAACAACCACCTCCACTGTTTTCAATATTCTCCCATCACCCTGGCAACACAGGAGACGGAACATAAATAGTACCTCTGCCAAAGATATCTGTCGCCTTGTGATGCCAGTGGGGGTCCAGGCTGTCAGGCAAGGGTTCTACCCAAGTTAAAAGCAAATTTTGACTTATCATTAGCAAGATTTTCCAAAAAGTGCATTTATGTTTCATTTATGTAGACCTTTATGTGGAGATGTAAATGAAATATAAACTCCATGAGGGTCCAGGAAATACTTTGTCTGTTTTCTACCCCTGAGGGCTAGCAAATGCTGTCAGTGCTTATTAAAGGTGTTCAATGCAAGTATGGACTTCTCACTCAAAGCCTGAAGTTTGACATTATTAACATCACTGCATTAGTCGTATTAAAACTTTTAAGAAGTCCTGGTACAGAATATTGCCCCAAATCAGAGTTGTTCATAAATTAGAGAGGTCGTTTTGGTTGAACTGTGTAGTGCACAGGGTAATGGGGATGAACAGGATAATGGGACACAGTCCTTCACCTCCGCTCACAGCCAGGTAGGGGGTTTACACATTTATGGCACTGTGGTTCCTCCCACAGTTCCTGTGCTGAGTACTTTGCTGATGCAGCAATCTACACCAGTGATGGCGAACCTTGTAAAACTTTCAGTGTTAACCAATAGCCCCCTGTAGCATGCATGCCATAGGTTCGCCACCAGGAACCTAGGCCCTAAGACATGGATAAAATTGAGCACAATTAGTGTCTTGTAAGGAGACAACGAGGTACGAATCCAGATTCCTCTATATGATAACAGCTGTTTGAAAAGTGTCATGGTGTTCCAATAGAGTGGGGTGCAGAAAGGACCATCCCCATGCTATTCCTCACTAGAGGAACTTAGGAGACGCCTCTCCAAATGCAGGAAGAAGAATTATTTGAGGAATAAATGAAAAAACTGAAGTCTCAAGGAACACACCGCATTGGCCACCACTTTCAAAGTCTGAGGAAGAGCAGAGTACGTATTTGTCATCTTGGGCTGTGGAGCAAAACATACTGACCTGGGTGATTTTAAAATGTGCCTCTTCCAGTCAGGCTAAGGCTGGAGACCAAGGTGAAGGCAGAAGCGTCCATCTGGCTGCAAAGCAGGCGGGCTCTCAGGAGAGTGCTTTCCTGGGTTGTGGATGGCTGCTTTCTTCCTGGCTTCTCACACAGGAAAGGGAGACAGCCCTGAGCCAGCCACACCTTCACGGCCCAGCCTCTTCCTAATTAACCTCCCCCAAACCTCTTCTCCAAATATCACCACCCTGGGGGTCAGGACTTTAACATCATTCAGTCCACAACGGGCTGAGAATGGCCTGGTTGTTCACATGCTCTTTTAAAGGGAAAGAAACCTCCAAATTCCCTATCCCGGTGATTACCGAAGAAAATCTGCAAAACGTAGTATGGAAAGTCTAGAAGTTGTACCACCAACAAGGCAGTGAATAATGAGATAAAAGCAAGTCAAACAACCTGCAAACAGGAAAGCAAGAAAGAATGGAGCCCGTGGGCAAGAGTGCTCAGATGAACTTTGAGAAACACACCAAGAAGAGACCACGGAACCAGGAAGGGAGGTCAGCTAGGAAACTGAGAAGGAGGGAAAGACTCGTGGGCCTCTGCAGGAGGAGCTGACCCCAGCTTTCGCCTCCAGGACTCAGATTCCAGCAGGACCTCACCGTGGGCAAAGCCCACGAGGTCGCCTTGGATATGACACAGTGGAGATGGGCTCTGACACACCTCCTGACCTTAGCTGGGAAAGTGGGGGGAACAAGGACAGGTCCCTTTATCACCAGCATTTTCCTGAGTCCGTCTCTGGTGCTGGGAGGTGACACAGTGTCACAATCTTCCTGGCTGCACTGTAAGGCCTTGCTTGGCCTCCAGCTTTAAGAACTAGAATGCCCTCCCTGTTTCCCAAACCCGAGCCGAGATCCCACCAGATGGCGCCAACACCACAGCAGGCAGGGAAGATCGGGCGCGCCTGCTGCCCAGAGCTCACCTGGAAACGCAGCATCCTGTTGCAGGCCAGTGTGCGTTCCAGACGCGTTCTCAGCTTATGACAGGGTTAGGATGTTAGTACGGCGAGCTAAGGGGAATGCTGGCTCCTCCTCGCTTCCACACAGGGTGCCTTCTTAGTGGACTCCTATCAACAGCAAGGTCTGAGGGAGCTTCCTGAAACACCAAGTCCACACCATTCCTCTTCAACCTGCGTGGTTCAGGTAACTGAACCAGGCGACCAGGAGGCTGGGTGAAGTGTATTCCTCATTCTGTTCAGTTTTCTAATTGCTTAATTTTAAAAGCATGAGGGGGAAATTTTCATATATTCCCAGGGATGAACATGATCAGAGAGTATTTAGTGTAACAGTCAAGATAATGTTGATAACCCAGCAGCACCTGTGTTCCCAGCGATCATTGTACCAAGTCCTCCAAAGGATGAGAGACTCTAATTAACACTCCAATAAGCTCTGGGCATGCAGATGTCTCTTCAGAGTGATGCTGAATCTGCTTCTTGGGACTCTGTGTACACAAGATGGACACTTCCAGAAACAAGTCACCCCCCTCCCAGCCTCATTTTAACAGGAGAGCAGGAGCCATCGAAGACCCCATGGCTGCCCGCCTTTAAACATTATCTGTGGACAGCATGTAACCTTAGAATGGCAGTATTTCTGCAATGGCCTTCACAAGGATCCCAAAATTTACTCACCAGACCTCTTTATGTGTTTATTGTGTTACTGTGAAATGAATCCCTGAGACTCCGCCTGGAAAGCAGAATTGCTGTGTGCGGACTTACACATTGGAAACAAACATTTATAAATAAGGTTTTTACATGCTGAGCTGGAAGTGTTTTCAGAGAAAAATAAAGCTGAAACACTAATTTTAAAAATAAGAAATTGGCTCCCTAGAACTAATTGAAAATGACATCAAATTAGTGGAGGAGGAAGTCCTACCTGTTAGTTACTGTGTGTTTATTTTATTGTACTTGCATACTACACCATTTATTTATTTACTGTTTATTTGAGACAGGGTCGCATTGTGCAATCCAGGCTGCCCTTGAACTCGGGATGGAGCTCAGGTTGGCCTTGAACTCACAGTGATCTTCCTGCCTCAGCCTCCCAAGTGCTAGGATTACAAGATTGTGCCTCTATGCCCAGCTAAACCAACCTTTAAACTTGTTTTGCCAGACCTTGGGGAGATGTGGAGATAGTTAGCTGGTATGACCGAAAAATGACCCTTCTAACAGATTTCTCCAGAATTCCTAATTCCGGGTTTAGATACGCTAACTAGTCATCAGGGAAG